AGGGTGGATTGAAGAAAACTGAAATGAAATCTTGTTTTATGACCATGCCAGTGTAAGAAAATGCCTGCATAATGTTATCCTGGTGTGGAAAAGAGGTATTCACTGAGAAGGTTGCTGGGGGTTCCAGTCCTGATTTGCACGGCCTTACGAAGTCCCTTTCTCCCTCTGAGCCTCCATTTTCTCTTTTAGCAGGTGACCCCCTCCTTCCAGTTCTGGGCCGCTTCCATCTCCATTGTGAGTGTGAGGTTGGGTCTTCTCCCAAGCAACCACCTTGGTGCCCTGGCTGTACCTGTGAGTCTATTTTGGAGGCCTCCCAGTCGAAGGCAAAGCAACAGGAATTCCGTTGGGGGCATATGGAGCTGGGAAGAGGCCAGTTTACTTGTAGGGCTTGGCTCTTACTCATGATACTTTTTTTTCCCTTTCTTTATTATCTTAGAACCATTCATATGGTTGCCTAGTCTACTTTGGCTCCTTTAAACAACTCTACACTTCAGGTTTATTTTAAAAAAAAAACACAAAATAGGTTTATGACTGATTTAAGCCAGGAAATCCCCTAATGGGAATATCCTTAATGAGATTTTCTAAAGAGAACCCTCTATGAAGAGCTGGAATTAATTGATTATTTGTAAGGTAACCAAGCAAAGTTTATGATAAGATCATGAAGTTTGTGGGAACGGAGCGTAAGCCACACTAAACATACACACACACACACACACACACACACACACACAGATGCACACTATTCCTGGGGAGGCAGAGAGCACAGAATTAGCCTCAGGAATCCCCACTCCTGTGTGACCTCGGGTAAGGCACGTCCCTTCCTCACTCAGCTCTCTCTTCCTCCATACAAGAGAGACTACCGTCTACATGAACATGAGTGGTAAGCCACAGTAGCAAGGCCGTGAGGAGGGTCCTGGTGTCCTGGTAGACATTTAGTGGTCTCTTCTAGCTCTAAAATCCTATGGGATTCTCTATTTTGTGGCTGGGCTGAACATGTAGTATAGAATATTCAAATTTGAAATTCTTTGAGCCGAGCAACTTTGCAAAGTTATTTTTGTTATCAAATTTTATAAATTCCACTGTTGTTTCTTGAATAGATTGTTAATCTAGTTAATCTATATAAATATCCAGAAATATGGAAATATAAACCAATAGCATTTTTCTAACACTCTCAGTAGTCAGCCTTTGTGGTATTTTTATAATGTCTTGATCAGCAAATGGCAGTTTTTACATCCACTATTGCCTACTAACAAAAGAGACTTGAAGTCTTCTTGGAGGTTACAGATTTTGTATATCTTCCCTAATATGCTGATATCTGAGAGAATGTGTCAAAAAGTGCCATCTAGAATGTGAGTCATGAAAGTCAACTGGCAGAAGACAGCTTAGGAAACTGTCATTAGAGCCACTGGTGGAAAGTCTAGGACTCTGACCCCTGACATCAGCTGCAGCCTTATTTAAGCAAATGGAAGAGAGATCTTGAGTGAGAGCAAACTGTCAGGCCACTTGGAATTCACAAGGTCTCTGCCCAAGGAACCCGTGTATATTGTAACAGTGACAGTGATGATGGCAGCTAATGTTTATCATGTGCACACTGGATGCCAGATGCTGTTCTAAGGGCTTCTCCTGTAAGGGAGGCACTAATATCATCAGCCCCATGTTACAGGTGAGGAAGCTGAGGCAATAAATAGAAATAATATGTCCAAGATCACACAGCCATAAATGGGAGAGCTAAGATTTGAATCTACACAGAGCCTGTAGTCTTAGCTATTACCCTAAATGTTTCACTAGGAAGTAAAAATTATTAAAAATAAAAAATTACTTAAAAAATAATTACAAAACTGTTTTTATGCTTTTAAAAAGTTCAAAAATAACTTGAAGGATCTGTGTTTTAATCTACTATCTTGATTACTCCATTTGTTTCTGTACTCACTATTTTTTACTCCATGCAAATATTTAAAATTAATTTTCTTCCCTGAATAATTAGAAAAGGTGAAGTATTACAAGTTAAGAGACTCAGGCTTTGCCATGCGATTACTGTGTGAATTTGGTTGAGGCCTCAGTTTCCTCATGTTTATTAGAGGGTTCCTTTCTTTAACTGAAACAGTTCAGCATGTGTAAATGTCATTCTGTGAACTTAAGAGACACTGCCTGTAGAGAGCAGATGGCTGGGGCCAGTGGCCAAGGGGCTGGCTTCTCCAGCCTGGGTGTAAGGGCTGCAGGCTACAGCTCCACCTCCACGTCTTGGCAATGAACCAGCCTAAGATGTCACAGAAACATGCTCAAGCTGGCCAGCACTCAGTATGATATTTAGAAAGAAGAAAGTAAAAGCTTAAGGATGATCAAGTTCTCTTAAGTAACATTAAACAAAAGCATGCTATGCTTCTTCTAATTTCCTCTGAAAGCACTTCTCAAGTTTGTGAAGAGAATGACAGGTTGAATATGTCAGCCCGTCATACTTCCGGATGTGATGTGTAGGCTGGTAGTTCATCACAAAATCATCCACTTTATAGGAACCAGTTAAGTTTCAGTGCCAACTCTTGTTCTCAAACAGCAAGATGACTGCTAACTATGGTATGTATATGTTAGTGGCCTGAAATTACAGTGATATTGTTATTTTAAGGTAGAAATGGTAGAAGGTCCTCACTCATCATATGCATGCAACGATATTATTGTTTAGGGAAAATAAGATGTGAATACTTCAAAAAATCACTGTTTTTAAGAATAATCACTTTTGTCTTTTCAGTCTACCATGCAAATTCATAGAGACCATAAACAGATTAATAAATTATTTTGTAACTTGCCATCCAAATTATTTATTCATTTACATATTCAAAATTACTTATTAGGGCCCTGCCAGATATAAAGAACTTGAAAAGACAAATTCTCAATTGCTGTTATAGGATTAAAAAAAAAATTTTTTGGAGGCCTACAAACCTCTGCAATTCCATTTTTTAAATATCAAGAATTAGTCACCTTGGTAACAATTGTGGTGTGTATGAAATGCTAAATATTTATTAAATAGAATTGAAAACTGACTTGTTAGTTGTTCCTCTAAAAATTTCAACTCCTGCCTCTGTCCCTCTCCTCCCCTTTGCAATGCAACTATGCCTTCAAACAGCATTCTTTAAAAGTCGGCTTTATGGCTTTGGAGGAAGAAGCTGATTTCACAGCCAGATTTGCCACTGCTGTGGAAAACAGAGCGCACATGCAAGCCAGCTGAAGTCATGCGGACTGCAAGGATTAGGGCTGTGGGGGCCTCCACTGCTGCTGTCAAATTGCAATTGGAAACAGCTTTTCCAAAGTACAGCATGAGAAATCAGGAATTCCTGTCCACAGCTCCCCAACCCACTGGGTTCTTCTCAGGCTTGGTACAACCCATTAGAGATCAGAAATATGAAAATCATGATGAAACCAAACAAGGGTATTTTCTGGTTTCCAAGTTTTGTTCTGCCTGGATCCCTTCCAAGCCTGTAATTACTGTCACTCACCAGTTAATAAGGGAACCATTTCTGCCTAGGGACAGGAGCTCCAGGAAGGCTGGACCCAAAGGTCAGGCAGGCTCAGTTCAGTGACCTGCCTTCTGTCCAACCCCTGGATGTGCAAATTGTCTAACTGCTCAAATTCTTAAGTTTATCTCAGTTACTTGAACTGTATCTGTCACTTAGGGATAAAATAACTTTTGCAGAGATCATAGAAAAACTATTTAGAACATTAATAAACTAGAACCATTCAATGAAATTTTTTTTTTTTGGGGGGCACTCCAGCTTTAAAGGAAAGAATCTACTCTCAGGAAAACAAGCTCAAGTCAGTAATTTAGTTTAAAAAAGTAAAAAACTTTCAGGATTTGGCTTGAGATTAATGCAGATGTAGCCCAATTTCCTATACCTCTGTCTAGATTTAGAAGATCTAGAGGTCAATTATGGCCACATCCACTTCATTTGTCAGCTCTTCAATGATCTTTGAGACACAATTGCTAAAGTGGGAAAATGAATTCATCAGAGAGTTGACCAAAAAATGAGCTTATCTGATAAATTACCAGCATACCTGTTACATATGAGTCACTCATTCTGGTCACGATACAATGCTGTGTTATACATGGATTAGGTAACACCCAAAAGTGAGCCAGCTGTAACTTTTTACCTTGAAAGATTCTTAATTAAAGTTCCCTTGGATGTATGATTTCCAGGCAAGGAAGGAGCTGTGATTTGATTTTTTTTTTTAACATGCCTTAAAGACTCCAGTCAAATTCCATCTATTCAGTGAAACTTTCCCTGGTCCCCTAATTTCTCTTTTGTCTTTCTCAGCAAGTTTCTGGGAACTCTCTTCAGCACCGGACATTCTGTACAATATATGTAAGTTGCTAATAGGTGAATATTCCCCGACTATATGCTGGGCTGTTTCCCCAAAGGCAGTGATTATGTCTTACTCATTTCTGAAGCCCTCTCCTCCCCTGTTCTGAAATTAAAAACTAGAATTCAAAACAAAACAAACAGAAAAGCCCCTTCTTTTGTCTAAAATGTATTATTAATTTCTTAGGGAAGAAGATGTTTTCAGAAAAAAGTATAGGCAAATGATGGACAAAGTTTCAGAGAGGAAGAGAAAGCTCAGGGGGAGAGCATTATGTGCAAATTGGATGTTCAGCAAAGGTAAACAAACCAAGGATCTGAAACAGTACCCAACCAACACCATAAAGCTTGCCCCAAACTGGAGCAAATTTAGACTTATTAGGACATTCTTTAAGAAGCAGCATTCAATTTTTGGACAGAAATTAAAAAAAAAAACCCTTGTCCTCTAATAAAAGCAATTTCTTAAGAACACCTTAGAAATCTACTTAATGAAAAATCTATAGTTTGGAGAAACTTTTATCAAGACGGATCAAATCAAGAAAAAAAATTCTGGTTAACCATAAATTAAGTAGAATGTTCCACCAGCTGGGCCTCACCTTCAATCTGGCAATGAAATCTGTTTGTTAAGAGCAATGAGACTTGAACAGCCCTTACCTTTGTGAATATACATCTTTTGAGCATCTTCAGGATGAAGTAACCCCAGTAAAGATTAAGAATTTGCAGGACAATGAGCTGTAGGTTGAGGAAGATGCATGAAAAGAAAGGCTCAAGGTACTGCAGAGGCAGAATCAGCGTGAAATACAAAATCCTGAAAAACCAAACAGATGAGAGTATTTCATTACAGTCAAAGTACTTGTGAATTTTCAGTGAGAAAACATACTTTATCTCTCAAGGCATACAACACTTATTTCATTCCTAATGATGTCCAGGAAAGTCTCAAGAGAAAACAATATGATAATATTACCTTATATATCATTATTGGCAAGCCACAAAAAAATACAGTCTGCCTCCTGGGAGAAAAGTTAAAGCAAATGGAATTTTTATTGCCATGCTGCCTACACTCCAATGTTTCTCTACCTCGGTTTCCTCTCTGCAAAGAGATGAGTGTACACTAACCCCACTCACCTTCTCAGGATTGGATAACACGAGATAATGAATGTATATATGGGGTTATTATTGCCTTTTGACACAATCTCATTTATTTGGCATCAAAAGTGAATGAGGGAAAAAAAAAGTGAGTGAGGAATTCTACAAGAGTAAATTTTGTGGATAAAAGAGACTTTTTAAGGAAGCAAAAGTTCTGTTATTACTTCTACTTCCACTTTCTAAAGTGAATTGCATACTTTATTAATTTCATAAACAGACTCCTGGACACAATTTGAACTGCCCTCAATGACCAGAATGCACACTGTCTTCAGATACAATTGCAGTATGAAGGCTATCTGTTGTCTTCCCAAACTGCATACACTGCTAGGATTTTAGAGTTCCTGGATAGGTTTGTTTGTAAGTATATTATTCGAATTATAAAAATAATTTATTCATATAAAATTGGAAAAATAAGAAAGTTGCCCATAAAATCATGATTTTAAACAAATAATACTGTAATTTTTGTGTGTTATCTTCTATTTTTTCCTACATATATTTATTTTAATTTTATTTTTAAATTAACATATAGTAAAATTGACTATTTTGGGGTGTGCAGTTCTATGAATTATAATATGTGCATAGATTTGTGTAACTACCACCACAATATGGAGACAGAGCAGTTCCATCATCCCCCAAACACCAGTGCTGTCCCTTTGTAGTCACATCCCCAGGCCTAACACTTGGCAACCCCTTATCTATTCTCTATCCCTTTAATTTTGTCTTGTCAAGAAGGCATTACAAATGGAATCATACAGTGTGTCAGCTTTTGAGACTGCCTTCTTTCACTCAGCATAGAGCCTTTGAGATTCATGCAAGTTGTGGGTATCAACAGCACGCTCCTTTTTTTTTTATTACTGAGTTGCATTCCGTTGTGTGGATGTACCCATTACAGAACATTTGTATTATTTCCAGTTTTTGACAATTATGGACAGAACTTCTATAAATATTTATGTACAGGTTTTTGTGTGCACGTAAGTTTTCATTTCTCAAGGGTAAATACATAGGGTTGGGATTGCTGGGTATCACACTAAAACTATATGTTTAACTTTATAAGAAACTGAAAAGCTGTTTCCCAGAGTGGCTGTTTTGCACCCTTACCAGCAACGTCCAAGAGCTCCAGTTGCTGCTCATCTTGAGCAGCACTTGCTATTGTCCTGTAGAGACTTTGCCACTGTAGTAAAAGTAGCACATGTGGGATCTTACGTTCAATTCCATTTAACTTTAAATCAAAAACATTTTACCTGAAAAACTTGGTGTATATTGTCTTTCCCAAATCAAAGTTTATTTCTTTAGATGTGTATATTCCTAAAGGTGAGAATACTATTCCAAGGCATACATTAAAAGTATAGAAGTTCAAGGTTATATTAAAAGCTATTAAGACTTTACCAGATTATTTTCCAAAATTATAACAATTTAGAAGGTGACGAGCAATTTATGAAAGAAGAGTTTTATTGAACCCCCCAACCAGTATTAAGTGGGTTTAAACTTTGCTAATTTAAAAAATAAAACAATTCTTTTAACATCTTTATTGGAGTATAATTGCTTTACAATATTGTGTTAGTTTCTGATGTATAACAAAGTGAATCAACTATATGTATACATATATCCCCATATCCCCTCCCTCTTGAGCCTCCCTCCCACCCTCCCTATCCCACCCCTCTAGGTGGTCACAAAGCACTGAGCTGACCTCCCTGTGCTATGCAGCTACTTCTCACTAGCTATCTATTTTACATTTGGTAGTATATATATGTCAGTGCTACTCTCTCACTTCATCCCAGCTTACCCTTCCCCCTCCCTGTGTCCTCAAGTCTATTCTCTACATTTTTGTCTTTATTCCTATCCTGCCCCTAGGCTCATCAGAACCATTTTTTTTTAGATTCTATATATATGTGTTAGCTTACAGTATTTGTTTTTCTCTTTCTGACTTACTTCACTCTGTATGACAGACTCTAAGTCCATCCACCTCCCTACAAATAACTCAATTTCATTTCTTGTATATATGTGCCACATCTTCTTTATCCATTCATCTGTTGATGGACACTTAGGTTGTTTCCATGTCCTGGCTATTGCAAACAGTGCTGCAATGAACATTGTGTTACAGGTCTCTTTTTGAATTATGGTTTTCTCAGGGTATATGTCCAGTAGTGGGATTGCTAAGTCATATGGTAGTTCTATTTTTAGTTTCTTAAGGAACCTCCATACTGTTCTCCATAGTGGCTGTATCAGTTTACATTCCTACCAACAGTGCAAGAGGGTTCCCTTTTCTCTACATCCTCTCCAGCATTTATTGTTTGTAGATTTTTTGATAATGGCCATTCTGACTGGTGTGAATTGATACCTCACTGTAGGTTTGATTTGCATTTCTCTACTAATTAGTGAGGCTGGGCATCCTTTCATGTGTTTTTTGGCCATCTTATATCTTCTTTGGAGAAATGTCTGTTTAGGTATTCTATTTTTGGATTGGGTTGTTTGTTTTTTAATATTGAGCTGCATGAGCTGCTTGTAAATTTTGGAGATTAACCTTTTGTCAGTTGCTTCATTTGCAAATATTTTCTCCCATTCTGAGGGTTGCCTTTTGTCTTATTTATGGTTTCCTTTGTTGTGCAAAAGATTTTAAGTTTCATTAGGTCCCATTTGTTTACTTTTGTTTTTATTTCCATTTCTCTAGGAGGTGGGTCAAAAAAGATCTTCCTGTGAATTATGTCATAGAGTGTTCTGCCTATGTTTTCCTCTAAGAGTTTTATAGTGTCTGGTCTTACATTTAGGTCCTTGCTGAGTAATCTTGGTTGTAGGTTTTTCCCTTTCATCACTTTAAAAATGTCCTGCCACTCCCTTCTGGCTTGCAGAGTTTCTGCTGAAAGATCAGCTGTTAACCTTATAGGGATTCCCTTATATGTTATTTGTTGCTTTTCCCTTGCTGCTTTTAATATTTTTTCTTTGTATTTAATTTTTGATAGTTTGATTAATATGTGTCTTGGTGTGTTTCTCCTTGCATTCATCCTGTATGGGGCTCTCTGTGCTTCCTGCACTTGACTATTTCCTTTCCCATGTTAGGGAAGTTTTCAACTATAATCTCTTCAAATATTTTCTCAGACCCTTTCTTTTTCTCTTCTTCTTCTGGGACCCCTATAATTCAAATGTTGGTGTGTTTAATGTTGTCCCAGAGGTATCTGAGACTGTCCTTAATTCTTTTCATTCTTTTTTCTTTACTCTGCTCTGCAGCAGTTATTTCCACTATTTTATCTTCCAGGTCACTTATCCATTCTTCTGCTTCAGTTATTCTGCTATTGATTCCTTCTAGAGAATTTTTAATTTCATTTATTGTTTTGTTCATCATTATCTGTTTGCTCTTTAGCTCTTCTAGGTCCTTTTTAAATGTTTCTTGTATTTTCTCCATTCTATTTCCAAGATTTTGTATCATCTTTACTACCATTATTCTGAATTCTTTTTCAGGTAGACTGTCTATTTCCTCTTCATTTGTTTGGTCTGGTGGGTTTTTACCTTGCTCCTTAAGCTGCTGCATATTTCTGTGTCTTCTCATTTTGTTTAACTTACTGTGTTTGGGGCCTCCTTTTCACAGGCTGCAGGTTAACAGTTCCTGTTGTTTTTGGTGTCTTCCCCCAGTGGGTGAGGTTGGTTCAGTGGCTTGTGTAGGCTTCTTAGTGGAGGGGACTTGTGCCTGTGTTCTCGTGAGTGGGGCTGGATCTTGTTCTTCTGGTGGGCAGGGCCACGTCCGGCAGTGTGTTTTGGGGTGTCTGTGAACTTAGTATGACTTTAGGCAACCTCTCTGCTATCGGGTGGGGTTGTGTTCCTGTCTTGCTAGTTGTTTGGCATGGGGCGTCCAGCCCTGGAGCTTGCTGGCCGTTGGGTGGAGCTGGGTCTTAGTGTCGAGATGGAGATCTCTCGGAGAGCTCTCGCTGATTGATATTACATGGGACCAGGAGGTTTCTGGTGGTCCAACGTCCTGGACTAGGCTCTCCCACCTTGGAGGCTCAGGCCTGACACCTGGCCGCAGCACCAAGACCCTGCCAGCCACACGGCTCAGAAGAAAAGAAGGAAAAAAAAACACGAACAGATAGAACCACAAACCAAATGGTAAAAGAAAAATGAGGGGGGGAGAGATGGGACAGTGGGATGCAGTGTGGGGTCTGACTTGGGGTTTCACCTGAGGCTTCCTTCCACCCCTGGCTACCGAGCTGCAGAGAAGGCAGGAGCTGCTGCCCCTGCAGGCTGCCCCATCCTCCCTCCAAAACAATTTCAACTTGCAATTTTTGCAACCTTTGACAGTTCCCTTTGACAGTCTGCTTAGTAGCTCTATTTCCTTTCTTTGTGAGTTATTAGTTTAAGACCTTTATTCAACAAGCAATAATATGGGACTTCCCTGGTGCCACAGTGGTTAAGAGTCCACCTGCCAATGCAGGTGACACGGGTTCAAGCCCTGGTCCAGGAAGATCCCACAGGCCGCGGAGCAGCTAAACCTGTGCGCTACAACTGCTGGGCCTGGGCTCTAGAGCCTACAAGCCACAACTACTGAGCTTGTGTGCCACAACTACTGAAGCCCGCGTGCCTAGAGCCAGTGCTCCACAAGAGAAGCCTCCACAATGAGAAGCCCGCGCACTGCAATGAAGAGTTGCCTCCGCTTGTCGCAACTAGAGAAAGACT